AAAGAACCTTGGTGAGAGAGATCACAGCAAGTTTGCGGTCGACAGGGCGCGCCAGCTTTTCCGTCTCACCGAGAACGAAAGTCGGGTAAACCTTGGTGAAGATGCCCTCTTGGATCTTCTCCGAGTGCTGCATGAAGTAGTCGGCGCCGTACCCGGCCTCAAGGCGGGCCGAGACGAGGTGGAAGAACCGAGCGAAACGCAGCTTCAGCGAATCGGGTGGGTTACCCTGCAACTTGGCAAATGTGAGATTTAAAATCGTGCCAAAGTACTGGTCGAGGACGCCGCTGCATTTTGAAGTTAGCGTGATTCATATGGATTTGAAGGGTCCAACGCTTACGGCTCGAATGACTTCACAACAGCCTCCAGAATGTCAAAGGCGTACAACTGGTACTTCTTGAAGTTGAGGAGGCGCTGGAAGATACCAAGGATCGCCTCGAGCTTGTTCTCCGAGACGATGTAACTGGCAGTGGCGGGAATGACGGCTGACAGAAGTCGTGTGCAAGCAGGCACGTTACCCTTGGTGTCCCACAAGCCTGCCTCGAGCAACGGGCCCAGGAAAGCCTTGTAGTTGTCGGAAATAGCATCACGAGGGCTGGACTCCAGGAGCAGCGCCAGGATCTGGAAAATGTACTGCAGAAATTCTGCGAAAGAATTAGCAAGGCGTTAAGAAGCATCATAGGGAATATCCTACCTGAGACATCTTCCACCAGAATCTGGTTGAAGGGCTCCCACAACTTCTGGTTGAAGAGTGCTGCGCTCGTTGAAGAGCAGTATCTGACAAGCGCGCCCAGTGCCTCAAAGTGGTAGTAGTAAAAGCGCGGGTTGCTAGGGTTCTGCTTGATCATGTTGGTGATAGCAATCAAGTGCGTGAGGATGCCCTCGACGAGAGGGGCCGCACCGTCCTTAATGACGATGAGGATTCTCATGACGCATCTCATCAGGAACTCATTCTCCTGCAACTTCGCAGGGGTTCTCTCCTTCTCAATCAACTTGAACAGGTGGTCGAGCAGGTCCTTCGCGAAAGGCTGAATATCCTCGCGAGGGAACATAGCCTTGCCAGAATCATCAGACAAGAAGAGAAGGCGCTCCACTGCAATTGCAGCGTAAGAGTAGACAACGTAGTTGTCCGAGGCCAGGTTCTGGATGAGAGGAGGGAACGCCAGCTTCCATTGCTCCTTCGTCAACTGGCTACGGAAGGTATGCAGATATTTGATGGCGTCAACCTTGGAAATGGGCTCAACGCCTGCGCTGGCCATCAGGTCAGACGCAATGTGCTGCTCGAAGAAGTCAACAACGTTGACCAGAGAGTTGACGGTCTTAACACCCTGAGCAGAGGTGACGGAACCCTTGGCGGCGACCGAGATGAACAGGTAGACAGCAGTGTCCTTTGCCTTCCAGTCGGTCTTGCCCTGCTCCAAGTAATGGTTGATGTACTTGTAGACAACACCAGTGACCAGTTGCTCGTACTTCTCTTGAAGCCTCCGGAGGAAATCAGTGGCAGAGCGGCGTCTGGAATCGGTGTCGGAGCCCTCCAGATCGCGACGGATAAACTCGATGGGCTCATCCTCGAAAAGCTCCAAATCAGATTCGCGCAGGGCGACGTTGGGCAAAATGACCTTCTCGACCACTTGGCCCAGAACTTCCTCGTTGGCAAAGACACCAGAATGCTGGGATGTGCCTGCAACAGCGGTCAAGAAGTGCAGGGCCTTGCTGACTAGCAAGTCGTACTTGGTCTCGGCTCCGACATTGGAAAGCAGGTTCCAAGCATTTGTGATGAAAGGCTCGGTGTACTTGCTGAAGTCCTCATCGTACTTGAGGGTGTAGAGCTCCAAAGCCTCGCAAATGTCCGCCTTGACGGTATCGACGACACTAACCTCGGTATCGTCATCGGTTTCGAGGATTGGGTTCGCGTAAGTGAGGTACTTGTGCAGGAGCTCGGAGATGGACGCCAGATGTTCTTCGAAGATGGGAGGCATGTCGTGTGACGAGAGATCGTAGAAGATCTTGATCATGAGACTCAGAGCATCGAACCAGTTCTTAAGAACGTCCTTGTTCTGAGCGTTCTTGGTGATCTGCTCGTCGGTTTGAACCAGGAGACGCACGAAGGGCTGGGCAAATGTGCTAATGACATGGTTGATTTCCGTGTACAGCTCGTCGGTTCTGAAGAGGGGTCGCCAGCGGACAAAGATAGAGTGGGCGACTTCGAGGACACCGATGTTGATCTTGGGATCGACGGGGGAAAACTTCTCGACGAGCTCCTGCGTCAGAGATTGCCACCGCTCCCAGAAGTCGGAGTCGGCGATGATGCTAATGGCATCGCCAAGCTGTGTTTGGATGGCGGGAGGGCAGGCAATCATCAGCCCAATAAGCTGAGACTTGATGGTTTGCACCTCATCGGCGGGGAGCTTGTAGTTTCCGTCGGCGTCAACGTAGTTGGAGCGGATGAAGTTCTTGAAAGCCAAAGCAGCAGCCAGACGAGTCTTGAGGGGCAGAGGGTCGGAAGCAACGATGTTGAGCAGTTGTAGCGAGTATTGGGGCTTGCTTTGCTCGGCCTTGAGGGCATTCTCGGCTGTTGTTCCGTTTGTTTATTAGCATGCAAAGCAAACAAAGTTGGCGGGGTAGGAAGCAACGGGGATATTTAGGTACCTTTCTTATGAGTGCTGGGGTCTAAAGTAGCGTCCAGCAGCTGGGCGATGGTGCCCATTTGGGAGGCCATCTTGACAGAGTTCGCAACGTCGAAAAGGTGTGTGGATGACGATGTGTTGGGACTTCGGACTGTCGTGGACTCTGCCTGTTCTGAACTTTTTGGGGATGGGATGTGTTGCTGTGGGGGGCGAGGCTGCTAACGGCTGCCATTTGGAAAACAGATGGAAGGTGCTGTGGGGCAACTGTCATTGGTTGGAGCCTGCTGGTAGGCACCCAGAACAGCTACATAGGTAGCAGGAGGCGCTTGGGCCGGGGGAAGACGCCGGGTTGTGTTGTCGGAAAAACCACGGCCAGCGACGGGGCGGGGTTGGCCCGTGCTTGGTGCAAGACAGGAATAGGAGCCACTTTCAGGGTTTGCTGCAAGAGAGACAAAGAGAGGAATTGCTGAAGAAACTTCCCTGGAATGAGGGAGGGTCTTCTGACGTCGTCCACGAAGGTTGGTTGGTGCCGTAGGCGGGAGCGGCTTTGTTGAGCGTGGGCTGTCTTGGAATTAGGGTAACAGGGAGATCAGATTACGGATGCTCCTGCAGAAATTACTACTGCAATCCTGTGAGACAGAGATAAGGCATATCAAACCAATTGGTGCAGTCATCTCATGTTGCCATGACTATCGTCTGAATGTATCTACTAGAGCTATTGATCTCTGGCTAAGTACCGGCCATCAGCCCCCCGTGACGTTTTGATCCGGGCCGGCGCCGACAGCGGGTCGTTCTCGGAAGGGTGGATGCCCGCCACGGAGAATGACGCCACGGCCACCTCACAGGGCAGATGACGGAATAATGTTGGTGCGAAGACACTGTGCCCCGTGGACCAGGGCCATTAAGAAGGAAGCATCCATTCCACGAGTGTCATTGGATGAGCATGAATCTCTGCGCCCGCCAGGACCTGGGACTGGATCAGCTGGCCATGTCAAGTGGGGGCATTTGACCACTCTACCGTAGACTCTCGTTCTACTCAGAATCCGCTGCCGCAGGGGTCAGTGATTGGCTACAGGCATGAATACTGTGTACCGTATATACTCAAAAAATCGGTAATCCGCACTCCCCCGGTCGACCGGGGATCAATTGGTTAGGTCAGCATTAAAACAGCGAGAGGGTCCGCAGCAGAAAACTGGATTGGCTTGACAGGGGAGGGTGCGGATTACCGATTTTTTGAGTATATACGGTACTTTGCCCCGGCTTAGCTTCTTTTAGACCCCTACACACGTCTAGTTCTAGCTTAGCTGCTCTTTGCCAGAGACTCTATAGCCAATTATATCAGTGTAATAGGCCTTTTATGGGGGCGCGGATTCTGAGTAGAACGAGAGTCTACGGTAGGACTCTTTGGCTTAGGTAAGGCTGGTAAGGTAGGTACTTGGCAGGAAACCTGCAACTGCAACGGGAAAAGAGATGCCCTGCGCACGCACTGCATCAGGGAGCTCACGAACTGTTGGTTCTTGCTGCAGGTACTTGTCGCCTTTCCTGCCCCCTAAAAAACCTGCACTACCTCCACCCCTACCGCCCCTGACCAGTGAAGGTACAGCAGCAGCAGCCCCGCCCTGCACCGACAGAGGGGATCAGCGTCCAATTTTCCTCGACGCATTTTTCTGCTGCTTCCAGATCTCTTAGTTGCACCACCAAAGAACTTCAACAGTCCGATGCGCAAGACTATGCTGTGAGAGCGCATTAGCACCTCCCGAATCCTTGGCACCGCAAACCACAGACAATCGCCGGACTGAAACCACCACACCACCGGCTCTCTCGCCTCTCAACTCACGTCCCATCGACGGTCGTTCAGTCCCCCCCCTGGCCTGACTGAGGTGGTGGTTCCAGTTGCGCCGGGGGCCTTGTTGCTTGGTGTGCGTGCGGCACCCCTCCCACTTTGTCCAACTTATTGCTCTCCCACTCCGACTCCCACTTCGGGGCTATCTGGCCTGCAGCTCGCCTCGCCGCCGTGGATGGGGTTTTCCAGACCTTCCCAGCTGAGCCGATAGCAAGTTTGCCGTAAGTATCGTCTGCAGATACCTACTTCTTGCTTCCTTTTCCCTTCTCCAGCCCACACGTCCTAGCCTGCGTACCTATCCATCTACCTTGCTCCGCAAACTAAGTTTCATCGTCATCTCCAAAGTTGTGGACCCCCATGAGGCCATCATCGTCATTAGCGATTCGAATGACAGCATCACCTCGCTCTCTTAACTACCTTTGACCACTACCACGCCGATATGAAGCACACTGTGCTACAACTCGGCTAACATGCTCCGTCGCATAGTATCCTCCAAGAACATCCCCAGCGAGTCCGACCAGTCCGACGAGCACATGTCCCCTTCGCCAGGAGATGCGCCTTCATCGCCAGACTCGAGTCGCCCTGGCGGCCTGGCGAGCGTCTTCAAAGGCTTGACGGGTGCCAAGTTGACCAAATCTCCTCCGCCGAGCCTCAAATCTACCTCGTCGATCCTCTCTCCCATCGCCGACACCGTGAATGCCACCCGCACTACCCTGACTCTGTCGCCGAACCACATGGAGTCCTTTGAGTTGCTGAAGAGCGGGAACGGCACCGCCGCCGATCGCGTTTCTGCCGCAAACTCCCTTCGATATGCCGTGTCCGAATATCCCATGAACCCTGTCCAGGATATCTGGTACGCTGCGAAGGACATGATCGATGCGACAAAGACAGATGCGGAACGTCTCGCTGGTTGGGAGCTTCTTTCAGAATGCGTCAAACACAAGGAGGCCTCGGACCTCGATCGCAAAGAGTACTTCCAAACTCTCACTGCACCCGCGAACCCGGACGATTTCCACCTACAACTGGCTGCTGTCGTGGACCTCACCAAGCATGGAAGACAGCTGAATGGTTTCGATTACGATGTGATACCTTTGCTACGAAGTTGGCTTTGCGACGCCTACAAGGCCGTCAAAGCCGCAAGGAAACAAGCTAGTCGAGATGCGAAGAAAAACACCAAATCCAGGGTCTCTGTGGCTGGAGAGGAAAAGAACCTGCATCAGCTATTCGTTTTCATCAGCGAGGTCATCAAGTTTGGATCCAACGTAGCCGATGAGGCTGCAATGTCCGGTTTGATGAAGGCGCTGGTCGGCATCTGTCTCAGCACAACTATCGAAGACGACCTACGGGCTTCAATCAGCGTTATTGATACTATTGTGACGTTCGGCACCTTGCCTGTCGAAAGCTTCAAGGAGTGTGTACTTGTGCTGGGCTCGATATTCTGCCTGGTACCAAGCCTATCCAAGACCGCATGGCACACCATATCCATATTGCTGAAATCGCACAATGGCCCCGCCGCAGTGAGAGTATTAGTCGACCTGTTGCGTCATCTCCCGCCGGACGGCACCAGCAAAGGAAAGGACACCAGGGACATCCGCGGCGTGCTCGCTGTCTTGGAGAAACTGCTCACAAAAAGCACTGAAAAGGGATACCCGCCTGTGCCCTTTGCCCTACTCATCGATGGGTTGGTTGCTGCGGTCCACAGCACGGACTCAGGCCGAGTTCACTGCGCAATTCTGAAGCTCGTCAACTCCCTGTTCCGCGACGGTGATGGAAAGCTTCATAATCTGATCATCGAGGAAGACTGGTCGAAATTACTGGATGTGGCCATGGAATGTTCAAAAAAGGCCTCACCAAACATGGTGACCGGTATCGGTTTAATAGCCCCGGAGACAGAACCTGACCGACCAGACGAAGCTATTGGCCTCGAGCTGTTGAAGCTCATCGCGCGTCTAGAAGAGTTGGCCACTAACAAGTCCGGCGATTTTGTTCAGCGACAGATAATCATCAGATTCTTCACCAACATTCATGCCCGACTTCCAGATTCTGCGGCACGGGTTGTTCTCACATACTTCCAGGAATTCCGATGCTGCTCTCCTTCGGATCTGCAGTGGGAAGAAAACTTATCTCTGGTCCTGTCGGAATTCTATGCCAATCGGAACCGAACTTCTCAGACTCGTCTTCTAGCCCTTCAGGCTGTCACCGAGTCTTACGACATGATGGACCTCATTGGAGAGGGTTTAGGCGATGACATCGTTCCGAATCTGATTAAAGACCTTCTGAGAGACATAGCTGATGAGACCAACCTGCTGGTTCTTGAGGCAGTCGTCTCATTTATGGTTTCTGTCTGTGTGTCTTCGGATCGTGAACTTTTCGACTATATCACAGACACGTTGAGAACAATTGTCATGAACGAGCGGCTCTTGTCGCCAATACCGTCGTCAACGACATCGCGGCCAACAACCCCGGTCATGGCTGATGCAGGTCCTGTCAAGAGCCATACAGCTTCTGGTGTTGTGACAAGGGGTTATGTTAAGCTTTTCATGCGATGCATGAACTTGGACGGAGCCAAAAGTCTCAAACTTTACGACGCACTTGTCAATATCGCGAAAACAAGCTCTGGCAAAACGGATGCTCGACTGGTAGCGATGAAGCTTTTGTTCCGTCTGAGAGCCGATTGGGCCAACAGGGTATTCTTGATCCAGGATACAGAGTCAGAAGGCTTGGCGGCGACATTGCAACACACAGGTTCGCTTCGAGGACGAAAGAAAAGTGAAGATGCTCAACCTGCTAGAAACACGAGAGCAGACCATGGCGCCGTATCCCGTACTACGAGAGGAATTTCCTTCAGCAGCTCGTCAACGCAAGACAGGAGCTTTCCCATGCGCTCTGCCAGCGGCGCCAAACAGACGCATCCTTACAAGCAGCTATGGGTCCTGCCTGATCCCGAGGCTTTGCCTGAGTCTCCATCTGCAATAGCAAGCCCTATACTGGTGTCTCATATCGAAGATTTGGATACGACGGTCACTGAAGAAGGCGAGACAACTGTCGTGGAGACGAAACAAATTGCATTGAACATGGAAGTATGGCTTGACGCGATTGTTCACATTGTCGAGCACGGAGGCGATTGGGAGGTCTACAGCATGGTATTGGTGCATTTGCCTTCACAACTCACGAACCATGCAATCTTCCGGGGAGCTGTGCCGCAAATCAAAGAGCTTCGGCGCGTGGTGTGTGAACAGATTCGGACGAACAACTTTCAAGAGCCGCCCAATTGTACCAGTCTGCGCCGCGCCGATGTCGCCATCTGCCTTTTCCACAGCCTGACCATGATATTGAGCTATCACGAGTTCTTCCTCAAGGACCAAGAGGACGAGATTGTGCAAGCCTTTGTCAAGGGCATATCGACTTGGGAAAGGTGCGCCAAATACTGCATCCACGCTCTGTCAATCTGTTGCCACGAATTACCTCTGTCCACCAGCAAGACTCTAGTACAAATGTTGCAGAAGATGGCGCAAATCATTACCCAACCACATGTCGCTATGCACATTCTGGAGTTTCTTGCATGTCTGAGCAGAATGCAAAATTTGTACGTCAACTTCAGGGAAGATGAGTATCGCATCGTATTTGGTATTTGCGTCAGATACCTACAGTACGTACGAGACAAGAAACAAACCCAACGAGGCAGCCTCCACAGCGAAGCAGCAACGCCAACCGGGACCTCAGCGCCAGATATTTTGCATCCAAACGCGGCAGATGACCTGCCTCAATATGTGTATGCTTTGGCATACCATGTCATTACTTTCTGGTTCTTGGCCCTGAAGCTCCCGGATCGTGCTAACCATGTTGGATGGATTGCCAAGAACTTGCTCACGGATGTCGACGGTGGACAAAATCCTGAGGAACAAGCTTTGGTCACGCTCGACTTCATGCAAAGAGTCGCTTTCGCCGACGCCGATGAATCTTCGGAAGATTTACTCTTTACGAAAGAAAGATTTGGAGAGATCCTGAAGCGCAGATGGCTCATGGGTAATAGCATCGTGACAATTGAACAGTCGACGACCACTGGGTGGTCCCAGATCACTAAGCGGCAACCTTCTGGGACGTCATCTTACATTGTCCACGAGAACTTCCGACCACGTCCGGCACACCAAGCACAGTACATATCCGATGTTTCGAGAGACGGGCAATTGACCAACAACAACATCCTGCCTAGCCACTTAATGGTGCAGTTGATGACCTCAACCCCGCAGACCGCCGACGGAGCTCGCCCAATTCCCCTTCCCGATGATGAAGCGGTGCAGAGAGCCATGAGGGTGTTTGACCGCAATTCGACTGTGGACGGACACAAGGTCGGAGTCGTTTACATTGGCGAAGGTCAAACGCAAGAAGCCGAGATTCTTGCCAACGTCTCAGGTAGTAGCGACTACGTGACGTTCCTCAACGGCTTGGGCACTCTCACAAAACTGAAGGGTTCCAAGTTCAATTCACAGGGCCTGGATAGGGAATACGACACTGACGGCGAGTACACATTTTGCTGGCGCGACAAGGTTACAGAAATGGTCTTCCACGTCACTACGCAAATGCCCACGAACCTTGAGCGAGACCCAATCTGTATCAACAAAAAGCGACACATCGGCAACGACTTCGTCAATATCATTTTCAACGATTCCGGAACGCCCTTCAAGTTCGATACTTTTCCTAGCGAATTCAACTATGTCAATATCGTCATCACTCCAGAATCGAGAGCAGGATTCCTCGCCATGCGAGAAAACCCACCAAGCGAAAAGCACCCGCCTTTCTATAAGGTGCAGGTCATGAGCAAGCCTGGTTTTCCTGAAATCTCACCAGCGTCTGAGACGAAGATGGTCAGTTTGAGAGCGCTCCCAGGTTTCATACGCTTGCTAGCGCTCAACGCGTCCGTTTTCTGTCTGGTTTGGGCAAACCGCGAAGTCGGCGAGCATATCAGTTCTTGGCGTAACCGACTCAGGGAGATCAAGCGCCTTCGTGAGAAATTTGGCCCTAAGAATGCGCCAAACACACACGCTCCACTCAACCACATCAACAGTGCCTTGACACCATCACCACCGCCCACCTCACTAGGCGGCGCTGTCGTCGGCCCCAATCCATTGGGACCGGATGCCAAATCAGCCAGCGTGCGCGACAGCTTCAGCAGCCTCCGCCGATCCTCAGTCGCCACCTTCTTCACGAGCACGAGCGAACAAACGAGCCACCGCAGCTCAATGCTCTCCACCACAACCAACGATACCGAGATTGTAACAGCCAACGGACTGGACTCTCTCGTAGAGTCGGTAGACTTTTCTAAATGGGCGTAAATACGACATCGCAAACACCATCACTCTTTTTTCCACAACGTAGCAAGCGACATACAACAAAAGTTCGGCGTGGGCGTGTTGGGTACCTAATGAAAGAACAAAAGACGCAAAACGATGTATTAAGTTCCTCGTCATATGGCATCTTTTAATGACACTTTTCTCTGGACGGGGAATGAAAGGGGCAACCATGGGGGGAAGGCGGCGGGTTCTTCGGAATGAATACCACTAAAAGTTTTCTGTTCTTTGTTTTTTACATGGATGCCTCAATCTGCATTGTATAGGTCGTGACGAAAAGACTCCCTTCCGCAAGACGTTCTTGATTTGTCTCCTCTGCAATCTTTATCCACCGTTTCAACGTCGCAATCGTGTTACCGTCGCCTTCTGAGCTCGACAGTCAATTCGGTGGACATTTGGATAGTTTTGATCACAAGCACTCTCAACCAAGTCCTTCCATCGTTGTGAGTCCAAGAAATGCTTCAATGAACGTATATATCGACAGTCAACAGGCCACCCATTCAATTCGACAAATAGCCTCAAACGGACTCGGTCGCCATGCTTAATATTTGTCTCCTTCACCTGGCTTCCGAACCCAAACACACAAACATAGCGTCGACACCCAGGCTCCCTGCCCGAGATACCCAGAATCGAGCGCGCACACAATTTGCGAGGGCATCCCGCGATTTCGTACATTCAGGAGAGCTGACTTTCGCGACACCCGAGACGTCGACGGCTAAGGACGGCGAGATCTTCGTCCTGATCCACTTACGATGGCATGTTGCTTGGTCACAGACTGTAAATGCACGATTTCTGTCACCCAGTCGATGCCGCCTCGTCCTCCTCGATGTATCCGGCTGCCACTGAGTAGGGTAATGAACGATCGAAGATTTCGACAGAACACTACCTAGACATTATCCCTTTCAAACGCCCAAGAATATAATTGAGCCTCTCGCTTTGGCGACGAAGTTCCGTCACTGGAGGTTCTCAACTACTCCTCGTCCTGCGACGGCCCATCCCCATGATTGTACACCAATCAACTGGACGCCGTGGCCACAGCTGCTGTTCGTAATTGTCTCCCTTTAGATAGTCCCCCAGTATCACTGCTCTTGGAAGACGGGCGTTGTAGTTTCTGCATCAAAAGTGATGCAAGTGGACCGGCTGGATTTGTACGCTGTCATCTGCCTAGAAATGGATAAAGGCCGAACGACGAAGTTGCTGATGGCCTGCCGCAACAGTGTGTAGGAACACGGCCGTTCTTGTTTCGCTGAATATGAGCTGCCGATACAGAAATAGTTTCTCCATTTTTATCAGCCTTCCTAAACAGCAGATCTGTGTGCCGTTGATATTACCTGCTTGCACCATCAACGGAGCCATCGCCACAACCTGTTCCAGCCTCTGTACACTTTGACGGCTGCGCAAATTCAGCTGCATCTTTTATAGTCGTGCATGTGCCTCGAGACCATGGCGATGCCTCAGCTCAATATCCTAATTATAATAGAGTCTTAGCGTGTAAACACAACTTTTATCTCCGCTGATGACTATCATCGTGACTTGATGGCGGCGATTCCTCTACAACAGACAGTCGTGTCTGTTAATCATTACTGAACCATATCAGCCCAGGAAGCTCGGGCAAGATCATCTCTGTTCAAGAAATGAAAGTCTAATGCTTCGCTTAAGCTCTCAGCAACACAGCTTTGGTTAAAAGATTGGCGATGATTGCGAGCCCTTCTGAACATGCTTAAAGGTCTCGGGCACAAAAGCAGACCACTTCAGAGGTGCTTTGGGTGCCATTCCGCGATCTCCCTCATCATTCTGTAGAAACCGAAATGAGTGTGATGCAATGATGTGCTTGGGAAAAGTATACAAACAGTCGTACACTCGAGAGGTCAAAGTGACCTTCTTCGTGCGGTAGAGGACATCGACAAGAAGAAAGTCCAATCGCAGCAGCTCCTCATGACTCGCAGATGAACGGTTGGCCTTTTGTCTACGTCGTTCAATTTCGGAGTTCCTCCGCGGCTCACGGTACATTCGATCACAGCTCGTTCAACTCTTGAGAACTGTATGCCAAAACTTCAATCACGGCTGCGCCTAGAACACAAGAACAATCAATATCTGAACACACCAACCTATAATTCTCTCCTAGAGCCCGACTGTACACTCAAACCTTACCCCTCTCGACTAGTTTCTTCTACGACTATCCCGCCTATCCCGCGTATCGTCCACCGCACCCTCCCGACTCGGCGAGGCCTAAACACCTCCCAAACCGGTAATTCTCCGAAACCTTGCAGCATCGTGGCTTCCACATCCAGAAACCAGGCAACTCCAAACGGGCCATTTGCTCCTAAGTCTCAGACCCCAATCTAAGCACCCAACGCCACACAATTCATAGCAACCAATGGCACTGCCGCTTTCACGAAACCTCAATGCCGTAGACCGCTCCAGATCAATAGGGCACAGACAATCGAAAGCCGCACGTAAAGAGTATATCTTTTGCCCTGCGTTCTTGTCGGTGGCCAAATTGTCTAAACGCGTCGACATTTCTATAGGCCTATATCATAGAACTGTCTGAACTCACCAATATAGCTGCTAGACATCCGTTTCGGCGGAGCCATGTTGGGAATTCGAGAGGCAGTTTTTAACGGAGCAGAACAGGGGGAGCCAACGAGATCCCGTTCGATGATAGGCCGATGACCACGACCATGCCAAGAACCAATTTCCAACACCAACAATCTTCACATACCCTGTCCCCTTTCTGGAGAAACGTTGCATGTTGGACTACTCCCTACTCTGTACCTTGTCGATGTTCACAAAACGACCTAGTCCGCGACGCCCTGCATGTGTCGACGTCAGCCCTTCTACCATTTGATAAGCTGGCGCGCCTCTATCTAGCCGTGCCCATTTCCTATCGGAATTTCACCACGTCGAGGACATCGAGCAAAGACAATGGCTCAAGCTGCCTGGGCAAAGCATTCGTCTTGCGGGATTATAGTTGACCAGAAACAGATAGGTCGTGACAAACCCTCATCAAAGGGTAACGTTTTGGCTTACCAGACATTACTCGATCTAGGCCATAGAATCCATTAGAAGCTGTTGAATGGAAGCAGAGTTCGGTATTATTTGAGCCGTGTCAATCCGACAGCTCAGTCTCGCAATTATATCATAACGTTACACCGGGCGTAAATACTACCAGCAGGTATACACAATTCATCACCAAGCCCTAAGAACACACCTTCGCGGTGCCTCTTTTTCAATTCTTTAACTTCAAAAGCCTCAAGTAGTTTCTGCATATCAATATTCGTTCTAAGGCCCTAGAAACGCAAATATGCCTTGTTTACGACAAACAGTTCACAACCTTACCTAAGGCCAATCGCCATATCAACATGTTTACGCAATCCCATCGCCAGACGGAACACACATAGTCATCACGCAATTATCAACCCACCGATCACATTTCTCACCTACAATCTACGTCACAAAGACGTAAACCTCAACCCCACCTCACCCTACGGACTAAAAAAAAAAACAGCCAAGATGTCGTTTGATCTTTTGCGCAAGCGCATCTGTGTCTGGGAGGGGGGAGTAGCCCGGCACACACAATTTCAGCAATCATCAACAACTGGAACTACAAGGTCTGCCCTTCCTTGCCCTGTAATCGCCTTGGCTACCCTATTCGACCTGGGGGCCGGTGACAGAACGCACATGTACCTGTATGCAGAATGCCTTGATTGCATCCTCGTCACGGCTTAGTCACGGCTTAGTCTCAAAAGAAACGTCGAGCGAGCCATATAGCCCGCGGTTGAGTCTTGGCCCGCAACTCGCTTCTTCGGCCCACGGCATCCCGAGATGTAACTCGGGACTGCCGAGCCGTGTTTGACGAAAGGAATCCCACAAGCCAGCATATAAACACGAAATTAATACACACACACACTTCAATACCTTTTTCGCCTTCTTATCGTTTTTGGCTGCTGGCAGATAAAGCAACCAAGCAACCAGGACAAAGACTTCACCGATAGGTAAGCTACGTCTACCGATGTCTACACGAAGAATACCGGAGAGGATTCCGCGGATATAGATTCCGAACCCAGGCGGGGATCAGCAGCTCCCACGACCGCGGACCTTAACTCCGTAGCGTGACGGAGCACAAGGAAGGGGGGACAAAATGAAAAAGACCGGAGAAATTGGCCGGTGAAGCTAGCTGGGGTTCCCAGCTCCTTGGGTTCCCAATCTGTCTGCCCACGAAAGGGCTTACGGCCGACAAGATGATGGGTCATGATGTAGTTCCACTGAGTGTTAGTTCTCCTGTGCGAAAAGCCTACACAGTGTAAGTCAACCGATGGGAGTGTCAGCAACTATTCTGCCGGATGGGCGGGGGAGATACCTTCGCAATGGATCGTTGTTCTTTCCGGTCTCCGCGCCTCATCATCGAGGGGTAGGGGGAAGGCGTGACATCTATTCTCTATTCAGTCATCATTACCAGTCGATATAAAAATCCCCCAACGAATCAAGAATTGGCGTACCGCCCGAAGCGCCAGAACAGGTCGATTTTTCCACGACATGAAAAAACACCGCTCCTGCTCCTCATTCCCCCACCAAAGAGTCTTTAATGGTGGTTGGTGTAAATCAATACGTCTGCACTCTCGTGGCACACACGCTCTCACCCAAACCACCCCTGTCCTTGTCCGTCAGCAGTCCCCCCCGCTCTTCCTTCCAACAACGTCCGCTTCAATAGTTCACTTTGCGCGTCAACGTTCGTTGGCCGGCGACTACTTTGTGCGGGCCGTTAGATGGGTAACGCGTCGCCCAGGCGGACTGACATCTTTTCACAGCGGCCGCATTTCGTGCGTGTGTGATGTGAGCCTTTCCTCCGAGGGCAGGTGGGCGCAAGCAGCGAGAGAGCCGTGTGCCGTGAGGGAGAGCCGGGATTACACTAGCAGTGACCTTGGCGAAACGGAGAAAAAAAAGTAGCTAGGGTACGGTCGTGTTTAAACGGTGCTGCTCTGGCAATATTGCACGGCTGGATTGGAAATCTTTGATCGCCTTGCAGGCTTCTAAGAATCAGCGCCAGTGCCGTCAATCATCAATGACGTTACATGGCACCGGCTCGAAGTATTTTCTTCGAGAAGAATTGCGCGAGCGCCTTCGAAAACGTGTGTGGGTATCCGGCACGACAGAGTGGAACCGTTATGCCCCTATCGAACGGGCCGGTCAGTCGATTACTCTCTCTTACTGACGTCCTGTCCACATGGCGCAGGTCAGATGAGAGTCTGACCGGCACAGATTGACAAGTGAGGGGTGATCCCGTACAGCATCTCCCAGCATTCGACCGCAGAAACCGCTGCTCAGGTGCAGCCTGCTTCGAATCAAAGCTCATCTCAGCTTCCACGCACAGGTTTTGGGGCAGACCAATAACGACATTTGTGTGATTCAACCTGCATCCTGCTCTCTGTGGGATAACGCAGCCGAGCAGGACGGACCTGCGACCAGGGATCTGGGGAACAAGGATGGGACCGTGTTATTGGAGAGCTGTTTGGGTCAGTTCGTTGGCTGGGTCGCACGGAAACTTGAAAGTGGCAGCACGGAGATAATCCCGGCGATGTGACCGGGATGCCGGACGCTAACAATCCAGTGCTAGTCGGCGTGGCTCGGCTGCTCCCGGCCACCCGGCCACAGCGTTTGTTCTTCCTCCCCTAGTCTAGACGGATGGTCCGCGGGTGGTTCATGGCTTCGATCCCTGGCCACATGGGAAACGTTAGGGTCTGTGTGTAAGCTCTGCATCAGGCCATTGGGAACCCCCCTTTTTCAAACTTGGCAGCCATCGCCCAATCTACACGAGACAGTTCGAGTTGCGATATCGACCTGCCTGATCGGCGGTGCTAGAATCGGTTTCTCTTTGGCATAACCTCGGGAGTGACAGGGTGTGTCTGACAAGCTCGGGGCCGAAGGTTGATTGATGATCGTCGGTTGGGCTCCAATGACTTATTACTTGTTGCGGCTCTTAACAAAAAGATCGGGGTCCTTCACCAAATGTCTCTCCATTTACATGTTTATCGACATTTTCCGTCCCCATGCTGGTTGGGCTCGCAGAAGTACAGACAACTCCCCAAATTTTGTCATTTATGCTCAGTTGCCGTCCTCCCACTCCGGTTACTGCGGAGAAAAGGGGCGTTGAGGTTTTTGAATGTAAACCCCTTGCAAAGAAACCCGTTCGCGAGGAAAAACAGGCCTCCAAACCGCAAGAGGCAGTCTAAACCTGGCAAGCAGTGCTGTTGGTCATGGCAATCTTACCTAGGTGTCCACCCCGGGCCCCTTGCTTATGCCGGGTCAAACCCAAATTGGCGGACATTGTCTGGCTTGTTCCTCCTCAACGAGACCGAGCACAGAGGCCATATGTTAGCGGCTCATCCTGAAGAGGAGAGTGGATGTTCGGGTTCGTCAACCCTTTGATAGCATTTTGATAGCTACCCGATAGGGGAGATCCGAGGCCATTGCAGAGTATTACCATACATCGCATTGCTGACGGATGATGCCAATGATAGGTGCCACGACTGTTCATCATGTGTTCTTGTCGGACATGGTCAGCAACACAGAGGACCGCCATTGGAGCGCTCTGCTTACTGTCGAACAGCCCCTGTCTAGTGCTGCGGAGGGGGACAGCCACACTCCCAAGCAAGGAGGTTTTGTGCTGCGAATTTGACACGCACTTCAATCTTTAGGGCTCCTGGAAACAGGAACCAGGTGGTACTCGGAGCCGATGTATACAGCCGTCACTTCTGGGATAAGAGCCAGCACTAATGGTCGGCTGTCAGCCAACGGAGGAGGCACCCCGCATCCAACATGGAGGGAGCGGCCCCGGCATGCTGTGTTCATATTTTGAAGGTCATACAAAGCGACTTCATGGCGGTGAAGATTGGCGAAGGAATCGAAAGGCGTGGGTGGTGCAAATTAGCCCAAAGGCGTCGTCGGCGATTGGTATCATCTTATGTACGTGAGATCTTTGTTCAGATCTTTCGCCAACTGTCTTTGTATCTTGCCCACTCTCGAAAACCTTCGCCAGCGCGTTAGATGGGAACACGAAGTATTCGAAGGTTCTGCTTACCTAGACTTTGAAAGCCAGCATTGCCCCCTTTGACACCATCGATGAACATTTGCTGCATACCTCGGTCGGCCAGCAACTTGACACAGGTATCTAGCAATCGAATCATAACCGAGTCCCGGCTATTCACCATTTCACGATTATCATCTGGAGCGCTTTGAGTGAGCCACTGACATCGCGAGATCCTGATGGTGTTGCCACAAACCTGTGATGCAAATGCATGTTACGCCACCGACATCCGCGCCAATGGTCTTGGCCCACGGTAGGTCGTCCTCGGTTGGGCTTCCAGTGTTGGGAATGTACGTCAAAGCGACAGCCACAATAGTCTCGCCCTCTAGACCGATGACAACGTCCTCAATGTTTGGAGTGCCGTCCAGCCTCGCATATTGGTCATACCATCCCATGTTTCCCTTTCGTATCGCGTCTCTGTCTACAATTTGCAGAACTTGATGGAATTCCATAAAGTCGCACCGCCGAAAAGTTAGTCCTGCTGAGGATAGACTGGTTGCTGGCATATCGTCAAATCGGAGAAGCCAGTCCGAAACCTCCTGCCCATGCATCTGCCAGCCTCGGCGAGCAAACCATTCTTTTGCAAAGAAGTCCGACGGGACCCCGTACAGTAGGCGTGGGAAAGCCGTCCCTAGCTGAAGCCGTCTCACACCTCGAGTTCTCTGTAGCATCTTTAATGCATTGTCGTGTAGGCTCAGGCCTATACCTCGCCCTCGATACGAGCTTTTGACAATCAAGACGGCCAACGAGCCTAGAAGACTCTCCTGGTCACTGTCCGTAAATGTTGTGTATGTCGCACAGAAACCAACAATCTCTCGGGTATCGGGGTCTCTCACGACGTAGTTCATCGTATATCCATCCCGTTTAAGAAGGAGAACAAGAGCAAATTGAGGCAGGTGATATCTTGGCGGTAGACACTCTGTCCAAAGTTTGTGTATTGGCGTCATGTCCTGACCACAAACCTCCACAGGCCAATGTCGTGCTGCACTGATGATGAGATTTTGCACAGGTACGGCATTGACGGGCGGGGGTCGTTGATCTCCAAATATGATTGAAGCTGCGCTTTCGAGGTCCGATGGTGTAAATCCCCCGACTTGTACAATCGTGGCAAAGTTTTCGAGAACATCCGGATTTGCCTTGACGTTGTAACATGCCACTAAAATTTGTGGACGTTCCTCAGCCAAGGATCGCGCGGTTTCCGCCAGCTCGACCTGCGAGACATCGCCGTCTAACGGTGGCCCGGAGATGACGAAAACTATCGTTTTCGCTCTCTTTATGAACTCGGAGTGAATATTGTTGATGCCGCCTCGTTTGGTATAGGGAACATGGCGAACCATAGAATGCCGCGCAGCAATCGCACGGCCCAGCGGTTCGAATGGATCTCGATCATTTTCGGCGTTTCTGCTGTATGGGACGACAACGGGCGTGAGGAGTACAATGACATCGTCTTCCGACAGACACCTTCCAAGTGGGATACAATCCTGCTGATCCCGTAGCAACATTGCCAAAGCCCCTTGATTCGGTTTTGGACTGCTCCTCGAGCCGACGAGACGGTCGATTTGCATGTCAGGGGAGTACCTCATGTCGAATATCTCAGACACCTAAAGATCGAACTCCAGCTCATCCCTACTAAAAGGTCAGCTGAGGTTACACAACGGTTCAGGACCAATGTTGTATCATGAGTATGCTTGAATGAAGCGATGTCAATGACTGAGCTAACCTGTACAGTGAATGAGATGCCTTGCACGGCATGAGGAGCCGACAGTGCCGGCAATATCGTCCGTAGAACTGGCTGACTGAGCCTCACCAACTCGATCGAGAAGACAACAGCACTTGTACAGCCTAAAGAGTTGTCAACATCGACAAGTTGATGCGTGCTCACGCAGTAATCGTGTGGTAGGTAGCGGGAAAGGGGTTCGTCAATCCTAAAATAGCTGTGATTGAAATGATTTCTGGGCCCGGGCGCTTTTGAATTATATGCGGTATGATCGAATAGACTCAAACCTTCGCATACAGGGTTGTCCGAGGAAGTCAATAATGACTACCACTGCCGATACCGCTGAGCAAGTTGACGAGACAGGAGGCTCATGCCGAGGCAGCGTCAAGCCGAGGATGGAAGTGAGCGAATGATGCTGCCTGCTATTTCAAGTTAAAGGGCTGCGTCAGCTAACTAAAGATGATTGAGAAACGAAGTCGAAAGAGACGCAACGGAAACAGAAGGGACCCGCAAGTCTAAATGTTGACACATGCATCGTGTGGGAGGAACAGGAAGGTTACACATACCGTGACGAGCTAGCAGCAGAAAAGAGTCTAAGAGACGATGTCCTTTGGTGAGCCCTTTATCCTGATAGGCGTGGGAAGAGCACTGCATAAGGCCAGCAAAGAGTGGGGTGTGTACAAAAGGCGAGCGGCGGAGGAGACAGGGTCAGCCAGGCTGCCGGGTAGACTGAATGGAGACTGATGGGCAACGTGGATGGAGAAAATCTTGAAACGACATGCACACGGACATCATCAGCGGATTGCATAAATCCAGCGCTGAGCGACTGTAAGAAGGTAATAGCATGGTACTGTGGATGTAGGTAGGTAGGACAAGACGAGCAAAGCGCGCAAGCGGCTAATGTCCAAGGACCTCCACGCCTCATGCTGTGGGTGGTGGGTCGCAGTAACAATTAATCAATGAAGAGCGACGTGGTTCCTGGTCCGGGGGGCATCTGACTGATACAATAGCAAGTTGGCTGTGTGCGTATGCTTGTACGGACATAAAGAGTGTGTGGCCATGGACAAGATGAGGATGGAGGGACGGTGGGAAGGATGGATGGATGAACGGGTGTATCCCAATGCAACCGCCGCGGTACGGGGCGGTACTAGGTCCGTTTGCTGGGGGTCAATCTATGGATAACGGAACAACGAGGAGCGGTCTTTTACCTTGATATGCTGACCACCGGGCAAACCATGCAGCTGCCACTTAGCAACACGAGGGGCTCACATAGGTTACACAAAGTAGCTGCAGATGAATTGACTCCGGCGGGTGCAAGGTGAGATGAGAAAGGAAGGGTAAGCAGACGCCAGCGCATGACGGTCGAACGTGACACAGAGCCAAGATGATGACAGGAAACTGGCACCAGACCTCGTGAGACTTGCTGCTCGATCAACGCAGCCCCCAAACCCCCCACGGTTGATGGAGCAGGAGACTTGGAAGACTTTGCTTCAGACGTAAGTGAAAGGGTGAGGTGTCTTCTCGATTTGGGCATAAGAAGCGGGCACTTGGTGCACGAGTACCGTCGTTGAGTGCCATTCCAAGACCAACCGCAGTCTTGGAGCTCTCCAAGTACCAAATGCCCGGGGTCTGCATACAGAAAAAGGAAAGTCAAAAACGAGATTGCCGGGACAAAATAGCTCAGTCTAGGCTGTTGGTGGTGTAACTGGTGTTTGTCAGGGTGAGAAAAATAGGGTTTGCCGGGAAAATCCTACCAACAAAAGGCAGGAGAAGGAAGAGTCGGCACAACAGGGGCGGGATAATGGTAGATGTTGAGTCTCAATCGGGCGTCTCTCGGCTGTGGAGACGTCGGGCCGCGAACAATGGCACAAAACGTTGGACCCTGGGTAGGACCGGCGAGGGTCCTCGGTGACTTGATCTGGCCCTAGTATGGCAGTGATGGGCATAGGTTGCAGTCGATGGACATGTCGACAGCTGGACTTCCAACTTGCGAGATTCAACGGCGATGGAAGCGATCGACGCGGCCTGGGGGAGACAACAAGGGACGATTAGACCAGGGCTTGACATAAACGCACCAAACCCGTACCGTGGGAAGGAAAATGAAAAAGAGAGAAAAAGCGGCGTAAGTGGTAAGCAGGCTACATCACCTTGCGCAGCGATGTGGAGGCGAAGAGAAAAGGTGGTTTGGTCTGTCATGGGTGGAAGTGACGGAAGGATTCTGACGAAGCATTTTGTGTAGCATGTCTGTGAAACAACGAGGTCGGAAGCGGACGTCAGTCGGTTTCGACCCGGCTTATTGGCAAAGCAACAAAAGAGAAATACCGTTCCTTCCTGTCCACACTGTCGATTGAACAACTTCCATGCGATGCGCCAGGAGCATTTTGATGGTGTCGGAAGACGGCGGATAGTCGAGGGAGGTATGGTGCAGTGTGAGTGGAAGGAGTTGTAATACGGATACAGTTGCGGGACCAGGGGGTAGGCATCAAAGCGTAAGGTAAGGTAGGTAAGCAAGGACTTTGCTATGTGCTCCGCACCCGACGTTACGGACGGTGGGCGCCGTTCCCCAGAAGCACGGTGTAAGACGGGATAGGTGTGGGAACGGTTCGTCACCTTCAGGCTTCCATAGGTTCGGGCAGGCGCCAGTGCGTCAAAATGGACGTCCCGTCAGATACGGGCGCAGGATGGCACCTTACCTACCTTACCTTACCTAGGCACGGATACCTTACCTACCTTACCTTACCTTACCTACCTTACCTTACCTTACCTCACCTGCGGATACGGATGGAAACCCTCTTTCCTTTGCAGAACAGGTGCAGATGCGGATAGATGAGAGAAGAATTGAGCAGGCAAGAAGAGCCTAGGGAAAAGTCCGATTTCCATCTCATTTCCTTCCTCGGCATCGACATGGAAGTCTGACGTCTGCGTCTGCGTCTGCGCCTACAACACCAAGCTTCCTTGTCAATGGCCCGCCTTGTGCAACGCGAGGTGAGGCCACGACTGGGCCCTTCCAACCCTTCTTGTCGCCGTGCATCTGCTGGGAGGAGAGTCGTGCTCCTCATCTCATCTAAGACAGTGAGGAGAAATGTCCATCATCCCGAGCGCTTTCTCAATTGTCCGTCAATGAGTCGCGAAATGCCGGTACGCCTCACATATCACAAAGCCCAACTTGGACCCCAAATTCATGGCCAACTTTGGAATAAGCCCGGTCGAATGAGCGCAGGTCATGGCAGCCAAGACGGCTTGTACGCCGCTTACATACCTTTACCTGGGGTCGGTTTCGGGGCCGCAGCACGCAGCACGCAGCACGCAGCACGCAGCACGCAGCACGCAGCACGCAGCACGCAGCAAGCATTCAACGTAAGGTAAGGTAAGCAGAGCAGCATCCGCACGCATACGAATACACACTCGATGGCAAAGCCGGTGAGCCCTCTTGTGCCAATCTTGCCCTACCATCTCTTTGCCTGCAGCTCATCTCATCATGGCCATCTCCTTTCCGGTGTCACAGTGCCAATGAGCCGCGGTCAGCCAGATGCGCAAATCGGGCATGATGCGACTTCGGACCCCAATCATCAAACATGATCAGATGCTCGGATCATGAGACATATTTGCCTTTGTTTTTGCCCAGTACCTGCCAGGAGTCGCAGGCGAGAAGTAGATTCTTGCCAAGAATCTCGCCTAGCTGTTTCTCACCGAGCAATGTTCCCATTGGCACCTACCAATTTCGTGGTGTTCATGGATGGTTTTTTACCGGTGACCGAGGAGACCCCCACCCATGCTCGCCCAATCGACGGCAAGCACAGGCTTATGCTCGCTCACCCTCCCGACTGTCTTTCGTGCACCGTGCAGGTCCTCCGCGGGCCTCCTCTCCAGCCCGATTGCAGCCGACAGGAGCTCATTCCGGTTGCTGCACTGGGCCCCCGGCCGCTGAGGAACCGCAAGTGGAGCTCGTCCGGCCATTGACATCCACAACACTGTGAACCCATGCAAGGTGTGTGCGCCACTTTTTTCCCGGTCAAGGAAGACGCGCTCACCTTAGCTAGCTCTCTCACCCCGCGACGCGTCCACCACTCCGTTATTCGCGACCGAACGAGGACTACACCACCAGCCCGACCTCGGGACTGCACCACCGCTCACGGCGTCCCTGCATCTCCTGCGGTGCATTGCTCCGTTAATGCATTGGGGTTTTCCAAGGAACATAGGATACCGAAATGGCTTCACCCACAGACGACATGTCTGTAGATGGAAACAACGACATAAACCAGCTTGTAGAGGACATCGTTGAGGGTGAGTTGCACTTGCTGGATTTCATGTAAATATCAAAACACTGATCGATTCCAACTCCATAGCTTCCAAGTTACCGGCCAAGAAGCGAGCTACGGCCATTAGACCTACCGTGGACAAGGTAGCTTCATCGGCATATGAAACCGGCCTGTTGCCTGAGCCACTCAATGAGCTCATAGATCTTCTCACAAGACCAAGCTATCTGGACCAAGGCAGCCTCAACGCCTTGCTGAAGAGTCTCTACCCTGCAACCAAGCTATCAAACGATGTTGTGTGGAGGGTAGTGGGTTGCCTGGGACACGGAGAGCTCAAGCCTTCGCTGAACTTGCAGTCAAATCTGCTCAAATGGCTGATCATGGCGTACCATGTTATTGAGAATCCAGCAGTATTATCGCAAGCATATGCTGTTCTTTTCAACCTCCTCGATACAGCCGCCATCAGGTTGGATTCCCCTGGCTCACTTACTGGAAAACTCAAGGCGCTGACGCCATCCAGGCCACAGCTCTGTCATCTTCTTGCTCTCATAACACGGAGAAAGCACGTTCGACCTTTCAGGATACAACTCGTGTAAGTATGCATCGCTTTGAAGGGCGCAGGTGCAAGACTGACTTAATCGTCAGCCTAAACCTATCTCGAAATACCGGCAGCGACCCAGCTTTGACTGGTCTCCTCCGGGTATACAAGGACTACTATCCCGAAATCATCGTCAGCGATGCTCTCAGGGGCAGAGCGTCGGCGTTCAAGGTACAGCACGGTTGATTGTCCGTTTGGAAGCTTGTTCTGACACTCACAGCATCCCGACATGGAATGGAGAGAAAGATTGGATCAGATTCAGAGAGACCATTCCCAACGAACTGCCGATGTTACCGGCCAGCCTCGAAACGGCTTTAGCGTCAATCACTCTGCTTTGAGAGCTCGCGGTAGGAAGGGGACGCATCTCCCCTCAGTTCATACCTCGGCCGCTACAGAGGTGAGACCATCATGTCCGGGCAAAATGTGGTGCTCCCATGAGACTAATTTCTCCAGAACTCCGTCACACTGGAAGAGATTGATAGCGCCGACCGGCTCGCCCAAAATATTGAGAAAATCGAGCTTCCCAACCAGCTGGCAGCAGTCCTGGCAGACCCCTTGCTTCAGAAGTTCATTGCTTTGAAGAAAGATGATGCCGCCTCGAGACGTGTGATCCATTGGGTGGATGCTATTCTCGAGGACGTACTGAATGGGAATGCCGATGATAAGCTCTTCAATGAGACGATGGAGATCTTGGAAGACTATGTCACTCGGGTCAAGGTATGTGCTGTCATAGTAATCGAAGCAAACCAGTCTGACCATACAGGAAACCCCTGCCGTCGTCTTGAACTTCCTCGCTAAGCTCTTCACAACCTGGAATGGGGTAGATGCACGAGGCCCCGTTCTCAACATACTTTCATACGCACCACTCGCTTCCTTTGAAGGTATACTAAACCCGATAGTTTACCCAGTGCAGCACTGACGATTTCAGAACTTCGCAAATTCCTTTTCCAGCCGCTAGAAAGATGTCTACCACCAACGCCAAATGCCCAGCTTTCTCTTCTCAAACTCTACCAAAACCTCATTCGCCGCTGGACCTTTGTTCTCCGCTCACTCGATCCGATTCCCCCTGAAGCTCCAGTCAGCGCTTTTTACGACGTAATGGAACACGCAGGCATCATCGCTCTAAACCTGGTGCAAGCTACACCCAGCGTTGCGGTCCATGGTGCTGTGTTAGACCTCTACGAGCAGGCGGCGACCAGCATCTCCGATCCAACTCTCCAACCCCTCCTCCGCATCGCCAACCCGCCCGCGCAGCTCATATACCTCCTCTTCTTCGGCCACTCGCTGTCTAACGTGTCACGTCTATGCGCCGTCCTTGCAGTGTACAAGAAGGGTTTCGAGACCGCCATGTCCCGCCGCCAGCCGACCACGTATCAGCCCAGCTACGTTAACCACTTTAACGGCTTCCTCATGGACGTCTGTAACTGTCTCTGGCGCGGCAAGGCCTTCAATGACGCGGACAAGAATGCCCTCGGCTGCCTCAGTGCCCGTTCCGTCACCTTACGTTTGCAGCGCTACGTTGAGGATCTGGGAATGGACCTCGCGCTGCCGACGCTCTTCGGCTTCTCCTACTCGCCCGTGCTGAGTCTGCAAGCTATCGACTGCATCCGCGAACGGGAGGACAGGGCGCTGGCGGAGGATGAAGACGCCATTGCCACTAGGCACGGTGGCCCTGTCACGGCCAACAGTCTGGCGAGGTTGGCTGAAGCCCGCGGCATCCGCGTGACGTGGTCCGAGTATAGAATACAAGTGCTGCACGCGCTGGAGGGCAAGGGCTTGGGCGGCATCCCGGCGCTGATGAGGAACACGATGAAGGTCCTTATGGGCTCTCAGCCACCGAAATGAGCAAACCGCGAACCTGCATCAAATCGGCAAAGGTGTTGAGGTGCAGAGTAGTTGTGATACCCGCCGCGAGCGACTCGCAGCATCAATCGATATATGTGTATTTGATACAAAATGTGAGCGACGTCTAAATGTCTGTCTAGTTGAGTCGACGAGACTTCTATCGCCAGAGATGTAAAGCCCCCTTCTCGGTTGAAGACGCAGGGTATTAAGAGCCGTGAAAATCCTAATAGAAAAAGCCCGGGTATGCTGTTGTTGAACATTTATGCAACCAAACGCCATAGGGCGGGCAAGTTGAGAATGCCCCCCTTTTGTTTTATAACCCTCCTTCCTCTTGTGGTTATCCCTCTGGGTGTCGTTGAGAGACACCGAATGCCGCCATATGACCCAATCGTCATTTTCATGTTGAAAGAAACGCCCTTCATAATGCAGTTGAGTGCCGTCTACGCCTTGGCCCAAACCCATCGATCCTGTTGAACGCGAGAAAAACAAAACGAAACCACCTCTCCAGGCCCAATTGCAAGATTTATCGCTTGCCAGACTCGTCACCATAACCTCCGTATCCACCAGCGTCGTACGTCTTGCCCTCAGGCGCGACGCGTCCCTGGCTTCTCGGCCCACGATCCTTCAGATCCTTCCTCAACCACCCCAGCACCAGCTCGCCCAGGGTGCTGTTCCCAGTGCCCCCTTCGACATCCTTCAGGAACTTGCCCGCCGTGTCCCACTCCCTGACGGTGCCCAGGTGCATGTGCACAAGATGCGTCGGCCATCCGGCGAGGTTGTCCAGAATGTGCGTGGCGTACACGATCGTACACTCGCGGATCTCCGTCTCGCGCTTCAGCCAGCCCAGGAACTCGGCGCGGCTCAGCACATCGAGGTCAACCGTGATCTCATCCAGCAGAAGAATCGTCCACGGGCGGATGAGCCCCATGGCAAGCTGCACGCGGCGCCTCTCGCCGTCGGAAACGGCGTGCATGCGCCAGGCGGTGTCAATGTCCAGCACCGAGACGAGCTCGTCGCGGCGGTCCGGGTAGGCGTCGCCGCCGACGCTGCGGAGGAGCTCGACGACGCCGATGTCGGTGCGCACGATGGGGTTAAGGACCCATTCCAGGCCGAGGTAGGTGACGCCCTCAAGGCCCTCCTTGAAGGGGTCGACGCCGCCGATGGAGATGCCGCCCTGCGGGGCGAGGCGCTTGCCGGCGAGGAGGCGGAGGATGGTCGTCTTGCCGGCGCCGTTTGCGCCGATGAGCAGGGTGCGCGAGCGGGCAGGCACGGAGAGGGAGATGTTCTCGAGGCCTGACGAGGAGTCTGGGAACTTGTAGTTGAGGTTTGTGACCTCGATGGTTGGGGGACGTTGGGCGGACATTGTGGGCGATGTGCGTGGTGGGCGGATGCAATTGAGACTGACTGATGTTGCAGGAAGTGGGGAAGAGAGAAGTTGTGGTGAAGGAGAGTATATGCGACGAGGTTGGAAATTTTATGAGGAAAATTTAGAGTCACGATACACACCGCCCTGCAACTGAAGGCGTCATGACCCGATGGGATGAAAGGTGGGATGGTCTCACCCATCCCGAGCTAATCCTGCCCTCGTGTCGCGGGACAAGCACAGCTAGAACTCAATTGCCCCTCCATCCCAACCCCGTCGTGGCTGGGACCGACCGCCCAGGCCGGGGACCGCCGCGCGAAAGCCACAAGGGACGCAGCAGGGGATGGGCCCCTAACCCATGGCCCATTTACGCCAAAAGACGCGACTACACCAGCCCCAGGTCCTTCGACGCGTCTGCGCATCGTAGCAGCCAAGCTTTGTTCCTGCACCCGCTGCCATTGACACCCCGCGAGAGCTTCTCCCAAACCATCACCAACTCGATAATACGCTCTCGGGTCTGCAGAGTCACAGCCCCAAGATGGTGACCCTCGACGAAGCGACAGCGCTTCTACAGAAGCCGGCGTAAGTCCTCCCACCCTCCCTCTGCATCACCGTTTCATCACCCCCTGCCCAACACTGCCTTTTCATGATATCGCAACAAACGACTAACAAAGTCACGATCCAGCGACGCAGCCTCAGCCTCTTCGACCCTCGTCCGCGCCCCCTCGCAGTACAAACCTCTATCGACCTTCACCCTTCCAAAGGAGCGTTCCTACCAACAACAATATGCCGACGTCTACTTCCTGCGCCTCACCTCGATCAAACCCGCAGTCGACGCCGTCGCCGCTGAAGCCTGGGACGGCACAGTCATAGGCGGCGAGGAAGCCCGCCATGTCAACCGCGTTCTCGACGTCCGCCAGGGCGAGCTGTGTTGGGTCACCGGCACCGTCTATATGGATATGCCCCTGAAGCCCAACATTCTGGAGGACGTGTCGAAGGACGTACGTATCTCTCACATATACCAATCCCCTCTTCCTTGATGATTCCCTATGCTGACAATCCTCACAGCGTTGGATCTCCGCCCCCATCTCCACAGACCGCTACTACTCTGACGACGTCGAGAAGGACCAAATCATGCTCGAGGACGACTCAGGCCGCATCCGCCTCGTCGGCGACGTCCTCAAATCGATCCACCTGGTGACGGGCTGCATCATTGGCGTAATGGGCACCGAGAATGCCAGCGGCGAGCTCGAGGTGATCGACGTCAAGTTCCCCGACCTCGCACCTCAACCTTCCCGCTGGTCCCTCACCCAACCACCTCCATCCTCCGAAGACCACGACATGTCCGGCACAACGCCCTCCCAACAAAAGCCCTCCTCAAAGATCGCCATCGTCTCGGGTCTGTCCTTCTCCGGCACAGACGCATCCTACGCCCTCGAGCTGTCCCTGCTCCTCGAGTTCCTCCTCGGCGAGGCCCTCTCTCCCGAGACGCAGTCCCAAATCACAAACATCTCGCGCCTAGTCATCTCGGGCAACTCCATCTCCACGACGGCCGCGAACCCGGCCCTCAAGACGGACGACGCTACAAACGGCAACAAGAAGGCAACGGTGAAAAAGTACGGCTACGATGCAAGCGCGTATAACCCCCTCCCGAGTCAGCTCTTTGACGAGTTCCTCGCGGACCTGCTGCCCTCCATGCCCGTCACCCTCATGCCGGGTGCACAGGACCCTGCCAACGCGAGTTACCCCCAGCAACCGATCCACTCGGCCATGTTCCCGCGCGCAAGACCATATGCGGCTGGTCCAGATGCCAAGGAGGCCGGCTGGTTCGACACCACGACGAATCCGTGGGAGGCCGAGGTTGACGGGTGGAGGATGCTGGGCACGGGAGGTCAGAACGTCGACGATGTCTTCAAGTATGTCGACAGCGACGACAGGTTGGGTATGATGGAGGCCATGTGCAGATGGCGATGCAGCGCGCCGACGGCGCCGGATACACTCTGTGAGTCAACACCCTCTTTGCGACCCAAATATGCGTTGATCATATCTCATACGTTTCCAGGGGCATACCCATTCCAAGACAATGACCCGTTCGTGATGAAGGACGCTCCCCATGTCTTCTTCGTCGGCTGTCAGCCAGAGTTCGGAACAAGGGTAATTCAGGGTGCTGACGGCCAGACAACGCGGTTGATCACCGTTCCATCATTTTCAAAAACCAAGGAGATCGTTCTCGTTGACACGGAAACGTTGGAGGTCTCCAAGGTCAAGATTTCGGCGGCATCGTAAGGGAGAACAGGCAGCATATGTTGAGCACAAGACGGTCATGATTAGATATACCCACTGAGCTTAAGAGGATGAGGTGAAAAGCAAAAATATTGACGCTACCTAGAAGCTAGGCTCCATGCAGAAAAGCAAATCGCTGATGAGAAGACGTCCCCAAAGATCGTTACTCGCCTCTCCTAATCTGTTGACGGCGATATGGCGTGCCCCTGTGCCACTCCCGCCAGGCCAGATTGGCCTCGATCCAAAGCAATCCTTGATTCCATGACGCCCAGTAACAGAAGCAAAAGCAGCGCATCACATCGCCCTCCTCTCGATCATTATCCTGCCCCCAAGAAACATCAAAATCATCTGCACCCTCAGTCATAGTCCTGTCCCCAGAGCATATCGTCATCCTCATCTTCTTCGTCATCGTCGTCTTCGTCCCCTTCGCCCAGCATTGCCGGGCCTTGGGCCTTGTTCTTATCCTTGGGGCCGTCCCAAAAAGCGCGAATAGATTTAGGGATATTGTCCAGCTGCGCTTGTGCCTCACCGGCCGCATTGATCCTGTAGTTCTCCATCTGCAGATCACCCTTCCACGGGTCATCCTCGCCGCGGCGGGCACGTCGCACTTTCGCAGCGTACTTCATGTTGACCCGGATGCGCTTCTGCTCCTGCCTGTCCGATATGTTGACGATGATCTCGATAAACTGGCAGGGCAGACCGCGGAGCGCCTTCATCACCTCGGACGTCTTCTCGAAGAAGTTGAGGAAGGTCAGGTCGCCGGTCTCGCGGTCGCGCGAGGGCGTGATCTCGATCTCGATGGTGTGGATGCGGCACTTGATCGGCTTGAGGTTGCGGAAGACGGAGATGGCGTTGGCCATGCTCAGGAGGTAGCCCTTCTCGGTGCGGTTGGGCTCGGCGAGGATCTTGATGTGCCGGAACTTGTGGCCGTACCGGTGGATGTCGATCTCGACGTGCGGGTTCTTGGATGCGCCTGGGAGGGGCATGTCGTCGTTGTACTCGTCGTCGTCGTCGGCGTCGTAGTCGGAAGAGTACTCCTCCATGGGCGCGAGAGGGTGCTGCACCACGATCTCGTCCTCTCCATCTCCAACCTCGGAGACTCTAGCAGGCGCCGTCTCTCTGAGGAGGTAGAGGAACTTGTTCCCGCCGTAGAAGATGTCGATGGCCTCTTTCCAGATTTCGTGGGAGGTGCGAAGGATGGCGGTATCAAGGCAAGGGCGGTTTCTGGGATAGAGCGTGGACCAGCCCTGGCGGACTTGCACGGGGTTGTCGGCAACAAGAACATATCCGTAAATTTTATCCCTGATCTCGGGAGGGAATTTCATGAACCAAATCTTGCCCGTTGGCATGTCTTGATCAGTAAGGTCAATGACTGAACCATGCTTCGGCTTGGGTGGAGTTGGATCCGGACTGGGAGGACTGTAGATATCATCATCGTCGCTCTCGTCCAGAAAAGGCGTGGCACCCTTGGCCTTCTTCTTGCCCTTTCCTTTGCCCTTGGCATTCGTTGCTGCAACAGCATTCTTGGGCTCGGGGGCTTTGAAAGGAGGCGGGGTGAAAGTCATCGGAGCACCCCAGGTGTAATGAGCCGTCGACTTGGCAGCGAACGCGGCGCCGTAGTCTCGAGGGATCGGCATCTCACGCTCAGTAAAGTCATCCCATGTCTTCTTCTTGGCAGCCTTCCTGCGCTTTTGAGGGGGCTTTCGCATACCATCGTCGTCGCTGTCCGTCTCGGCGAGCTCGAAGCCGCGCTTTTGGGCGTACTTTAGAACCGCATCAGGTATTTGACGCTTGGGGGGTTTCTCAGCAGAGGCTCGCTCCTTCCCCTTCGATGACTTGCTCTTGGACTTGGAGGAACCGGTAGGAGCGGACTTGGACGAGCCAGCCGTGACGAATCTTTTCTTTCCAGAGGAAGAGGATTTGGACTTATTCCCGGGAGCCATCTTGAAGGTTTTGTTTTGTAGCTTCTGATTGTATCAGCGATTGTTGCCAGGAAGATGTCAGAAAACTTACTCAGATGAAGGGGGGTAAATGATAATATTTGGAACCGCTGGATTATATGGCCAGTGTAGATGTCGCAGTCTTTGAACCCCGTGAAATTTCACTTGCTGCCTTGTTGCTTCTTCATTCGTGAAATAAGTCTTTGTAGTGGTTTGTCTCTTGTGTTGCAAGTAAGACACTTCTGCAACGAATTAATGTCAAAGAGAGGGATATATCATGAAGGTGAGATACGAGGTTGCGACCTTCCCAATGGGTGAAGCAGAGGAAGTAGACGAGAAACTTCTGGGGCAATTGTCAACTCTCTCCAGAGTTCATGCCTCTGGTATTGGCAAGTACCTACTTGCCAAACGACCAGGTAGTTGACGAAATGAAGGAGCAAACTCCACAAACATGTATTGTAGTTTGGTGAAACTTGTGAGCCACAGACGAAAGCTTCAACGTCACAATTCAATGCCAGGAGAACGAATGAAAACCGCGAAGAGACTGACGAGGAGTGTTGTGTTGGTGGAGGATAGAGAAAGGCAAGATCCACGCTGGAGTGATAGTGTTGATATAAATGCTGGCTCAACTCCAAGAGGCAGCTTCAGAGAAGTGATGCCTTCCGTTTGCGGCCGATGTAATGACAGGAAGAGGAGGGGCGGGTGAAGTGGTGATTAGAAAGAAACATGATTCCATCTTTGGCTTCTACGATGCCAATATTGGTTATGGCAGGAGGG